GTCATCCAACTAGTTTCTTGAAGGGACTATGAATATATATACAACCTTAGTAATCTGGACTCATATAATACTATTGGAGTATTTCAGAAGTTATGGAATTGTAAATAATATTTAGAATATATTTAAATATTATTATTTGATTTTTGACTATTGGAGTATTTCAATTTATCGATATTGGGAATATGAGTTTGATACGTGAAGATGGGAAATTAAAGTTATTACTAGACTACTGGAAGGTTTGAGGTATAGTTGACACATGATAAAGTCACTATTAGTTAATAGATCACTGTACAACACACCGTCAGGTATATATATAACCTTTTTATTTTGGGCTGGTTAATGAAAGCAAACTCTAACTTTTGGTGCAGTTGAGTAAACTAAATTATAGTGTTAAGATAAATAAATATTATATGAAGTTTTATATTTTGATTTGTGTACAAACTTGAACTAATGGATGGGTTCTTATTACTCGATGTGTTACAGACTTGATGGGGATGTGTTCCCTAAATTTTTGAATGTGTTCCACTATTAAACTGGATGTGTTCATTATTTACGGAATGTGTTCTATTCATTTTTATGAAATGTGTTTCATAAGTATTTTGTACCAAGTAAAGGTTAATTACTGAATGGGTTAATCAGGAGGACTAGCATATAATCCAGATTTAGAACTTTATGAGATAGTACCACTAGTATTACTAATTTTTACTATGGTTACAATGTCAATGTAATTAAAATGCACTACTATAAGGAGAGGGTATGGATTAACTTACTGAGCAGGGATCTTGCTGAGCTTGCTGAGCTTTTGAGTTCACTTCATTTTTATCATTTCAGGTACTTGGTGGTTGTAGAGTTGGCATTGAGGACTAGAGAAATTCAGAGTTTTTTTTTTCTTAGTTGTGAGAGATTTTTAATTTTGAGGATTTAATGTAACTTCATGTTGATTTGAGTAATGTATTTTGGAATGATTTTTAGTTCACACCCATTTTGAGTATTGTTATCAGATGTATTTGTATTCGAATTTTAGGGCGTTGACAGGTTCTATGCGCATTAGTGAGAATGTAAAATTGAAAGAGGAAAAGGACAAAATAAGGAAAAAGACGAAACAGATGCATATAAGGTTCACTAATCTTGTGTTTTGCGTGCATGGTGATTATGACTTACAAGTAACAGATATCCTATAAACATGAATCTGATGGCTACCCACGTGATTAAAGTGAATAAAAAAAAAATCTAGAAACAAGAGTGGAAGAAGAATGTACAGCAGTAAAGAAATAAAAGGAAGGAACTTACTGACAAATATTGTTGAAGACTAGTCCGTGTAGGATTGAAGTCTAAAAATTTGGAATTGATGTCAACCCTATAGCATGAATAGGTATATATAGAAAATAAAATATCTTTTATTTGGACTGGGATTTGTATAAATTCAATTCAAATTGGAAAGTGAAAATTACAATCCAATGTTGAATAGAAAAGTGAAAAAAAAGAAATTTTAAAATCCAAAGTTAGATAGAAAAGCTAATAAAGGAAACTTTAAAAATTCAAAGACCAAGTTGGATACTTCAAGTCGCACTTAAAAGAGGTGACAAGTCCAATCAAATGTGTGACTCGAAGTAAGAGCAATTTGTAGACATTAAAATTTCTTGGACTTTTGCTTTGACAAGTTGACCTATCAAATATGGGTATAATGTTTAATTAAGTTATTTAATTGCCCAAGTTTGATCCACTTAAATTATTTAATTAGCCTAGCCCAGATGATTAAATGGGAATATAATTATTCCTAATAAAATATATTTGGAATAATTATTTTTAAGGATAATTTCATAATATAACCGGGCCGGTCCAGTTATAATTTTATCTTTATCAGGAGATGACACGTATCATCATCCTATTAATCCAAGAAGCATATAAATAGAGGCCTAGAGGAAGAAGGAAGGGACACAAATTCAGAATTCAAAAATTCAGAATTCCAAAGAGAATTACAGAAGCTCTCTTCCCCAACATCCAAACCCAAAGGCGAAGAACACCAAGCACATCAAATCATGCCGGTTTTTATCAAATTCCACGGTGATCAACAACAAGCACATCAAATCGTGCCGTTCTTCATATCCTAATTTCACGGTGATTCAAGATCAAGCTCGTACAGCCTTTGGATCCATCCAACCAAAAAGGAGATCGAATCAAAGGACCTTATTCTTTGGAAGAATATTACAGATGATTGTACTCCAATTTTCCAAATTAATAAAATATTATTTTCTATTTGCTCCATATTTTGTTCTTATTTGCAGACTACAAAATTTATGCGTACAGAAGCCCTAAAGGATTCATCACTGCGGCTATACTATAGGTGAAAAGAAGAGGGAAATTCAATTGACAGAAACAGAAATCATAACGATTAAAATCACAGAAATACGTGACTATAACAAGGTACCTTCGTCCTTGGTCACTCGCTTGTAGAATGGCCTTCGTCACTCTCTTCTGGTCGCTGGCCTTCGTCACTCTCTTCTGGTCGCTGCTCGCTGATCGCCGGTCGCTGCTCGCTTATCGTTATTCATCGTGTTCTTTGTCGCTCCCCTCTTTACCGCTCCCTAGTTATGCTTCATATCACAAACAAATGTTATACGGTCTGTCGTTGGGGTTTTTTTATTTTTTTATTTTATCTATATACTTTTTTAAAGTATGATTTGAATTGTGCCCAATTTGGCGCATTTGTAAAAAAATTGGGGGAAGTCTTTTTACTTATTCAGAGCATCTCCAATGCTAAAATGCTAAATTCAGTTGCCAAATCTATATTTTGATAGTGCTACAGTGTCAAAATACTACATTTTAGAAATTCTGCTCCAATGATGCATTTTATGCAAAATGCTATTTTTTGACACAATCACTATTTTTTTTCAACTGCCATTCCCACAATTCATATTTGGATCATTAAATGTTAATATTAAGCACATTCCAAGTCAAGTTGTGGACATTAAAAGGAAACTAAAATTAAACTTAATTAAAAAGAATCAAAAATCTAAAAATCAATATATATATATTGGGTCCTTTTTTTATCAGATATTTTAGATTTTTGATTCTTTTTAATTAAGTTTAATTTTAGTTTCCTTTTAATGTCTACAACTTGACTTGGAATGTGCCTAATATTAACATTTACTGATCCAAATATGTATATATATATATATATATAGGGCAAATCATTTCAGCCTCCTCGTCATATATATTTTTAGGGCAAATCATTTCAGCCTCCCCAATCGCCTCCATCTCTATTCTTGTTCAACTCTGAAATTGCCCCCCCCCCCCCCCCTCTTTCTCTCTCTGTAACTGCAAACTATAACAAGAATCAGAAGTTCAAAACCCATATCTTTCAGTTTCCATCGCTCGCTATTCCAGTTCAGGATTGCCGTTCGCAAGCTTCAGCCTCTGTCTCTCAACTCTCAAGCTTGCCCCCTCTCTCTCTCCGCAACTGCTAACTTATACGTATGGGTTTTGTTTTAATTTTTTTTCTAAATCAACTAAAATCAAGGTCTGTAATTCTTGTTTTGCAAATTAAATCTTATTTGGTGAAATTTTTTATGATCTTTTTTAAATATATCTATATATACAATATATATATATATATATATATATATATATGGCCTCTGAACCCCTGCCTATCTCTCTCTTTCTCTGAATAGCAGTATCTATTTTTTGTGCTACAATTGGCAAAACTTTTGACAAAGTTTAAAATTGGCAACCTTTTTAGCATTGGATTGGAGATGCTCTTAAGGGACAAAAAATATCCCTTAAATGCCAAATTGTAGCACTTTATTAACAATGATTATTTATCCCATTAAAGTTGGGCAAGGCCATAAATATTTTTTTCTACGAGGATCTTGCTAAATCCCCGTGAAAGCTTGACCCTTTATGTAACAATTACGATGATCCTCTGATAAATCCCGTCAAAAATAGTTTTTACGAGGCAAAATAAAGAAACTCCGTAAATAAGATGTCATAAAAACCCACTTTTCTTGTAGTTGAACTCATACTATTATATAGAAATAATATACATTCAAATATATATACACTGTAGCAGTAAATATATAGAAATAAACTAGCCTATAAAAATCCTATTGTTATTGTAACTTGTTTAAATTTGTATTGTCTATTTAATAGGTATTTACCAACAGGTCTGTGGCCTAGCGGTACAAGGTTCCTACTTTTTAAAAGGAAGTTAGGGGTTCGAACCTCAGTGGAGGCAATGTGTGCGAGTTCTAACTAGGAAAAAAAAAAAAAAAAAAAAAAAATGATATAACTTTAGAGTGTGCTACAAAGACTTTATAAGTTGTTAGAGAATATATAGTATTAATAATTTTATTTATAATCATTTATAATTCCATTCAAGTAAAACATAAAGAGTAATTTAAAACAAAAATAATAGACAGTTGCATGGCTATTATTACACCCTTTCATATTTTGTTCACACTCCTTGACAATCTACGATTTTAAAAAATGATGAAAATTTATTTTTTATAAAAACTCACACCATCTATATAATATTATTCCTCATTAACTTTTGCATTTTATGTAGTAGTCATTTTTTTCCATGCACGTACACTAGCTCTTTAGTTTCCAAAACCGAGCCAAGACCAGGGAGGCAGTAACTTAAAAATGGATATCAGGCTCTTTGGTTGCATCTGCATCTTCTTGAATTTGGAGGTTGAACCAATAATCATTGCATAAATCATCATAGAACACACATGGACTTGTGTGTTCTTGATACCATACTTGAGAAATTGGAACTATTTGTTAGGGATCAGCATACGTCGCTTGGAGATCATCCATGTACAAATCTTCCATTGAAAATGGTTGTGCCCAAAAGCTTGAAAGATCTCCGAATGTTTCAGCTGCTTGTGATGAAGAGCAACTACCCACGGATGAGAGTGGTGAAATTGGGATATCGATGTTCATGGAGCCTACTGACTTTGAAGCTTCTATGACACCAGAAAGTGGAAGGTTGGTCTCAGCTAAGTTGTTAGTGCCGGTATTTTGTCCTTCAAGCGTTTCTTCAAGTGGCAGTGCCAGTGATTCTTAATTTCATTGTCAGTTCTTCCACTCAATTTCGCTGAAATTGCTGACCATCTGTAATGAGAGATTAGAGATCGAAGACATGAGACCTAAGTAAAATTAATCCTAACATACCAGTCTTGAACATTAGATCTTCATCCAACAGATGAAATCAAATATCATGAAAAGGTCTTATAATATTTAACGCATAATTTTTTGGAAGTTAAAGCAATTCACTAATGCACCATGCCTCCACTGATGCTAGAACCTTGACATCTATTTGGGAAGTAAATTTGTGCCATTTGGTATGAAGTTTATTTTATGGTTATATTAAAAATGACAATATAAAGGTTAATACATGGAACTTTGAATTACAATAATCTCTTTCACTTCTCTGGCTAGGTGATCAATATTCTATTATGAAGATGAAGTTAGAGTTCACGTCATCAAAAATTTGATGGGAAGACGAACCAATAGTTTACTAATGTTATATAATTAAGGCCCCAAACCATAGTCTCATAAGGCTTTTGTGTAATGAAATAGCACACTTTTTAGTACCGGCCGAGAGAGAGAAAAGTAGTTTGAAGATCTTTTTTTACATATGTGCAGAATCTGTCTTAGGGCCAATTTTGAAGTCCAACCAATGAAACTCAATACAAAAGCAACTAGGTTTTGATTAGTCATATATGGTTGGAAAGATCTCTGAGTCTACTTTCTAATAGGACAGACATAATCGAATTTGGACTTCTGTTGATCAATTTATAACATATTCATTAAGAAGTGTTTTTGCAGACTCAATTTTCTCCACTTTTTGTAACGGCCCACTCCATCATATGGTATGATATTATTCGCTTTGGGCCTAAACTCGTATAGTTTTGCTCTTGGGCTTTATCCCAAAAGGTCTCATACCAATTAGAGAGACACACCTACATATAAACACTTCACCTTTCCTCTACCCAGGCGATGTAGGACTTGTGCACTCGTAGCTAGTCAGTGTGGTAACATGTCAGTGTCTCTCGCATCCGCCCATGGCACACCCGTCCACAGGGTTATCACAATCCACCCCCCTTAGAGGCCCGACGTCCTTGTCGGCACACTTCCGACTGGGTCAGACTCTGATACCATTTGTAACGACCCACTCCACCACATGGTATGATATTGTCCGCTTTGGGCCTGAGCCCGCACGGTTTTACTCTTGAGCTTTACCCCAAAAGGCCTCATACTAATTGGAGATGACACACTTACTATAAGCACTTCGCCTTTCCTCTACTGAGGCGATGTGGGACTGTGCACCCATAGCTCGCCAGTGTGATAGCCTGACAGTGTCTCTTGCACCCGCCCACGGCACACCCGCCTACAAGGTTATCACAATCCACCCCCCTTGGAGGCCCGACGTCCTCGTCGGCACACTTCCGGCTGGGTCAGGCTCTGATACCATTTGTAACGGCTCATTCCACCACATAGTATGATATTGTCCGCTCTAGGCCTGAGCCTGAACGGTTTTGCTCTTGAGCTTCACCCCAAAAGGCCTCATACCAATTGGAGATGACACACTTACATATAAGCACTTCACCTTTCTTCTACCTAGGCGATGTGGGACTGTGCACCCGTAACTCGCCAGTGTGGTAGCCTGACAGTGTCTCTCACACCCGCTCACGGCACACCGCCCACAAGCTCATCACAATAATCACCCTGTGGGCGGGTGCAAGAGACACTAACAGGCTACCACACTAGCGAGCTATGAGTGCACAAGTCCCACATCTTCTAGGTAGAGGAAAGGTGAAGTGCTTATATGTAGGTGTGTCACTCTAATTGGTATGAGGCCTTTTGGGATAAAACCCAAGAGCAAAACCGTGCGGGTTCAGGCCCAAAACGGACAATATCATACCATGTGGTGAAGTGGACCGTTACAAATGGTATCAGAGTCTGACCCAGTCGGAAGTGTGCCGACGAGGACGTCGGGCCTCCAAGGGAGTGGATTGTGATGACCTTGTGGGAGGGTGTATCGTGGGCGGGTACGAGAGATACTGACAGGCTACCACATTGGCGAGTTACCGGTGCACAGTCTCACATCGCCTGGATAGAGGAAAGGTGAAGTGCTTATATGCAAGTGTGTCATCTCCAATTGGTATGAAGTCTTTTGGGGTAAAGCCCAAGAGCAAAACCGTGCGGGCTCAGGCCCAAAGCGGATAATATCATACCATGTGGTAGAGTGGGTTGTGATGACCTTGTGGGCGGGTGTACCGTGGGCAGGTGCAAGAGACACTATCAGGCTACCACACTAGCGAGTTACGGGTGCATAATCCCACATCGCCTGCGTAGAAGAAAGGTGAAGTGCTTATATGCAAGTGTGTTATCTCCAATTGGTATGAGGTCTTTTGGGGTAAAGCCCAAGAGCAAAACCGTGCGGGCTCAGGCCCAAAGCGAATAATATCATACCATGTGGTGGAGTGGGTTGTGATGACCTTGTGGGCGGGTTTGCCGTGGACGGGTGCAAGAGACACTATCAGGCTACCACACTGGTGAGCTACGGGTGCACAATCCCACATCGCCTGCGTAGAGGAAAGGTGAAGTGCTTATATGTAAGTGTGTCATCTCTAATTGATATGAGGCCTTTTGGGGTAAAACCCAAGAGCAAAACCGTGCGGGCTCAGGCCCAAAGCGGACAATATCATACCATGTGGTGGAGTGGGTCGTTACAAATGGTATCAGAGCCTGACCCAGCTGAAGTGTGCCAAAGAGGACATCAGGCCTCCAAGGGGGGTGGATTGTGATGACCTTGTGGGCGGGTGTGCCGTGGGCCGGTGCGAGAGACACTGTCAGGTTACCACACTGGTGAGTTACGGGTGCATAGTCCCACATCACCTAGGTAGAGGAAAGGTAAAGTGCTTATATTTAAGTGTGTCATCTGCAATTGGTATGAGGCCTTTTGGGGTAAAGTTCAAGAGCAAATCCGTGCGGGCTCAGGCCCAAAGCGGACAATATCATACCATGTGGTGGAGTGGGTCGTTACACGAAAAAAACACAAAAGTAGTGATCAAGTACTAAGGTTTTAATTTTTAATTTTTAATTTTTTATTTATTTATTTTTTTACTTATGAAGGATCAAGGTGAGATCTATACTACTTCTAAAGTTTATAATTCATGCGTTTTTGTGCATCAAAGTTAAATCCTAATCAATAGATTAGTAAAGTATCTTTTTAATGATTCTATCAAACAAAACTTTGCGGCCTAATTTTATCAAAACATAATTAGTAAATTTTGCGTGTTAATTTGGCAAGTTCCACATGGTATCTAGACCTTACCAAGAAATAAACTAACAGCTCAAGATTTTTCAGATGCACAAAGTATTCCACAGAGAATTATGTATAGCAAGGCTTGTTATATATACAACATTGCTATATATACAATAACCAAAGCCTTACTTTACATTAACGATGCTTAAAACTAAGCATCGTTAATGTACAGTAAGGCTTTGGTTGTTGTATATATAGCGATGCTTTTTGCCATAACTGAATATATATAAAAGGTATTTCTAAAGATGACCAGTTACTTGTTTCCCACCATTTCATGCAGTTCGACTATGGTTTCCTCTTCTTCCTTGCTAAAGTTTCCATGCTTTATGCCCGGCCTTAAATAATTCACCCAACGAAGTCTACAACTCTTCTCAGACCTTAACAAACCTGGAAAATATATAATCAAACTCAAGAAGGTTAGCATAAACATATATATACCAAATGAAGCAAATGAAAAGACACTCAGATTGATGAAGTTTTTAATAGTATATGAAATATTCAAGTTATATTTGGGAGTATTCCCGTTTTGGAATTAAAATTGAAAAAAAAATTAGTTGAAAGTTTCAACTAAATTTCATTCAATTCCAATCATCAATTCAGTGCTCTCAAATGTGGCATCTGTTTCTTATATACCAGCAGCTATTGGTGTCAAGTTCCAGTTCTGAATGTCATGCCTTTTGATGTAAGCTATCAACCATTGATCTTCTTCAGGACTCCATACACCTTTCTTTAAAACCCTATTCTCAGATCTTGGAGCCCTCACCATCTCTATGAGAATAATTTCAGTTCTGACTTCTCAGTCTCAAATTAGTACTTCAGAAGAGTACTAGTACTTATATCTTATATATATGATCCAATAGTAAACTTCGTTTTCCAAGTTCAGAATTTTTTTAATGGCTGCAATGATATTCAAAGATATTGAACCCAAAAAATCGATCAATGATAGAGGGTTAATATTTGTTTAATTGTAGAAACTTCATTTTCTGTCACTCACTGTAGGAATTAGACAAAATACACAAAAATTTAAAACTAAAGAGATGACGACCAAAACCAGGAAAGTCCACCCTCAGTACAAACCTTTTTTTCTTTTTATTTTATGTTTTACTGTATATATATTTCATTTAACGCATATGATCAACAAGCGTAAATTGGTTATTTTCTTAGACCATCTAATTCTAAGAGCCATCCTCTTTCTTTGAATTCGAAGATGGCTCTTGGAATTACTCTGCTTAATCCCGTATGTATGTTGTTATATTTTAGTTCAGACATTACTCATATATATATATATATAATTAATGAAACAATCACACCAAATATTCATTATTCCTTGTTGATAACAATTTTATTTTCTTATATTATTAGACTCTAACTAATATATGAATTTTTATAAAAAGAGTTTTTATTGTTATTTTATTGTAAAACTTTTCATCTAGAGTCTTATATCTTAAGTAGGTTTTCGTTTAAGTTTCAAAATAGATGATGAGGGTCGAGTCTTCGAGGGACAAAGTATGAATAATCTTATCAAAAAAATTTATTTAAATAAATATTATTTCTCATATTAAAAAATCACTTTTATAATTTTCACCTAATAACTTAAATTATTGATTTGCTGATGACCGTCCAAGTAATCCCCTAGACTGGAGGGATCCAATTAAGTTATTATATGACGTGGAAAAAAAGTAGAAATCAATCCGAGTTGTTGAATAACATGGAAAAAAAAATGAAATCATCCTTTCATAGGAAGTTGCTAGGAACAAGCAGAAAAATTAGCTTCTTCCCTGTTTTCTTGGAAACAGCACAATTTTCAAGGACCAACAACCTAAAGAACATTTTCTAAAACAACATAGAGGAAGGCCACATAGGTTGATTTACATTACCTATGACTATGAGATGCATTGATAAAAATAGTTATTAGGGATTATTATATATAAATGAACTTAGTTGCTCATATTACCCATACATTGAGTCAAAGTCAATAATTTTTCTAAAATGTGTTTGACCCAAAAACTGAGGTGGCACATGAAAAAATACTGTTTCATATTTTTGTTGCCTAAAATACCCTTCTTCCTATTTTATGTGTTGCCTAAAATACCCTTTTGCGAAAATACCACTTTTTTTTCAAAGGTACCACATTTTTGGACTGAAGGTACCACTTTTTGACGTCCAGGTACCATGTTTTTTAAATACTCGTTTAGCTAGATTGGAGAATATTTTGTGTTATTCATGGCGTTAACGGAGTTGTTTATGGATGTAATGTGCAACCTAATAAGCGGTGTGGGGTTTAATACCATTTTCAATTGTAAAAATACTTTTTTTTGGCGTCGAGGTACCATGTTTTCTAAACACTGTAGCTAGCTTGGAGAATATTTTGTATTATTCATGACCCTAATGGAGCTATTTATTGATCCACTGTGCAACCTAATTAGCGGTGTAGGGTGTAATGCCATTTTCAATTGCAAAAATAAGTCCCTTTTGCGAAGGTACCACTTGTTTTCCAAAGGTACCACGTTTTTAGACTGAATGTACCGCTTTTTGACATCCAGGTACCATATTTTCTAAACACTCGTTTAGCTAGATTGGAGAATATTTTGTATTATTCATGAAATTAATGGAGCTGTTTATGGATGTAATGTGCAACCTACTAAGCGGTATGGGGTTTAATACCATTTTCAATTGTAAAAATACATTTTTTTGGCGTCGAGGTACCATGTTTTCTAAACACTTTAGCTAGATTGGAGAATATTTTGTGTTATTCATGGCCCTAATGGAGTTATTTATTGATCCACTGTGCAACCTAATTAGCGGTGTAGGGTGTAATACCATTTTCAATTGCAAAAATAAGTCCATTTTACGAAGGTACGACTTTTTTTCCAAAAGTACCACGTTTTTAAATTGAAGGTACTGTTTTTTGGTGTCCAGGTACCATATTTTCTAAACACTCGCTTAGCTAGATTGGAGAATATTTTATGTTATTCATTGCGTTAATGGAGCTATTTATGGATGTAATGTGCAACCTAATTAGCGGTGTGAGGTTTAATACCATTTTCAATTGCAAAAATAAGTCTCTTTTTTTTGGCGTCGAGGTACCATGTTTTCTAAACACTCTAGCTAGCTTTGAGAATATTTTGGCGTTATTCATGACCCTAATGGAGCTATTTATTGATCCACTGTATAACCTAATTAGCCAACAAGCTACCAGGTACCATGTTTTCTAAACACTCACTTAGCTAGATTGGAGAATATTTTGTATTATTCATTGCGTTAATGTAGCTGTTTATAGATGTAATGTGCAACCTAATTAGCGATGTGGAGTTTAATACCATTTTCAATTGCAAAAATAAGTCTCTTTTTTTGGCGTCGAGGTACCATGTTTTCAAAACACTCTAACTAGCTTTGAGAATATTTTGTGTTATTCATGACCCTAATGGAGCTATTTATTGATCCAATGTACAACTTAATTAGCCAACAAGCTACCATTCACCTCAAGGAACCTCATTATTTCCATCTTAATCCATCAAGGCTTATAAGATGTAATTTCCTCGACTTTTGATATAATTTTTGCTGTAGAGTAATTTCTTAGTATAACTTAGTTGTTAGTACTATAGCTCAATGTTCATTGCACTTTTCCATGTTATATATTCTACACGATTAGTGAAAATTTTCCAAAGGCCATTTGTTGGTAGGAATTAGTTATTTTTATTATTATTATTTTTTGAAGTTGTCTTTTGTCTCTTAATATCAAATATATATATATATATATATATATATATATATATATATATATATATATATATCTGGTACAAATCTGTGAATTTTTTCATAGTTGTATTAATTGGGCAATTTTTTTTTTTTTTCATGTTACCCATAATAGTGTTGTCTTTTTGAACGAATTATAAATTCTTTTTTAATTTTGATGATTCTTTTTAAAATTATTATTATTCAAAGTTTCGAATTGTCTATTTTTATATTGCTTTTGTTCCTTATTATTATTATACAATGCCTTAATACCTTAATTTTTATTGCATGTGACAGTCACATAGACAAAGTAGCTCTTTTGTTCTAACTACACACAGAGAATGCATGTCCATTAAATATACAAACAAGAGGACTCTCACTAGGACCACACAAAAGAAAAGGGCAACAAAATGGTTTACCACATAACAAGAAAATACATACATATATTAACCCAATTGGGAGCTAGAGGAAGTGGGATAGGAGGATCTCAAAATCCAAAAAGTACTTGAAATGACACGGGATATGGGACATATGTAATGTTGAACAGTGTCATTTTTTTTGCTGCTATTTTGCAATCTGTTGGTGTGAGCTATTTTTCTACTTTTAAAGAAGAATAGTTGTGCAACTTTTTATTGTGGATTAGGTTGGTATGTTTTTGCAACCATTGTATAGCGTATTATACTGGCATCTACCTTAAATGGAATGAAATGAAGTTCTCTTTTGCATTGGGTTTTTATGAATTAGTATTGTATTGCTTATTATATTAGAGCCTCACTGAATTTTCTTCGACTATTACATGAATGTAGTATAAAAAATATTTCATTCCAAAATTGAAGCAGTTGAATGGATAAGGGTAGTTTTGTAACTCTGCAATGGTCAATAAAGTTAAAAATGTCTTTTCAGCCATTGTAAAGGGCAAAATTGACTTTCTACCCATTTATCCATCCTGACATCAGCACTAAACGTCTATTACTTAAAGGCAGGGGGTAAGTTGATACGTATAGTATTACACCATACACCGCTAGATTGCACAGTGGATCAATAAATAGCTCCATTAGGGCTATGAATAACACAAAATATTCTCCAAACTAGCTAGAGTGTTTAGAAAACATGGTACCTCGACGCCAAAAAAAAAGACTTATTTTTACAATTGAAAATGGTATTAAACCCCACACCACTAATGAGGTTGCACATTACATCCATAAACAGCTCTATTAATACCATGAATAACACAAAATATTCTCCAATCTAGCTAAACGAGTGTTTAGAAAACATGGTACCTAGACGCCAAAAAGTGGTACCTTCAGTCCAAAAATGTGGTACCTTTGGAAAAAAAGTAGTACCTTCGCAAAAGGGATTTATTTTTGCAATTGAAAATTGTATTACACCCTACACCACTAATTAGGTTGTACAGTGGATCAATAAATAGCTCCATTAGGGTCATGAATAACACAAAATATTCTTTAAGCTAGCTAGAGTGTTTAGAAAACATGGTACCTCGACGCCAAAAAAATGGATTTATTTTTGCAATTGAAAATGGTATTAAACCCCACACCGCTAATTAGGTTGCACATTACATCCATAAACAACTCCATTAATGCCATGAATAATACAAAATATTCTCCAATCTAGCTAAACGAGTGTTTAGAAAACATGATACCTGGATGCCAAAAAGTGGTACCTTCAGTCCAAAAATGTAATACCTTTGGAAAAAAAGTGGTACCTTCGCAAAAGGGCATTTTAGGCAACACGTAAAAAAGGAAAAAGGGTATTTTAGGCAACAGAAATATGAAACAGTATTTTTTCATGTGCCACCTTAGCTTTTGGGTCAAATACATTTTAGAGAAATTATTGACTTTGACTCAATGTATAAGTAAATATAGGCCACTAAGTCCATTTATATGTAATAATCCCTAGTTATTATATGGCTCAAACTCGTGGTTCTAGTCTTCTAGGTAGGAACTCATAGTCAAGGTGTTATAAGATCACAAAAGGAATTGGATGCAAGTCCATATCAAAGAATATGTTAAA